CAAAATAGGCTAGTGAAATTACAAATGTTCTCCGAGGATCTAAAAATACAAGAGTTCTCAGCACCATTCCAAATACAGTGGGTTTCTGTACTAATTCTAATGAGAGTGGGAAGAACTGTAGTTTGGGGCGAGAGATCTCTCTCCAGTCTCAATGTTAGCAAGAGCTAGCGAGATGCTTTCAATCACTTCTCTCAGACATTTAAAATATTAGGACCCTTAGGAGTTTTATAATGGCTAATGGAAATAGGAACACATAGGACAAAGATGAAGGAATAATGTAAGACCGCAGTCACTGGGACACTTCAGACCTAGACATGTGGAGAGAGGAGAGAGGGGAAAGGAGAGAGGGGAGAGGGGAGAGGAGAGAGGGGAGAGGGGAGAGGGGAGAGGGGAGAGGGGAGAGGGGAGAGGAATGAACAGACACAAACACTCCCATGTAGGCAAAGAATGCTTGCCAGCATTTCTCCCCTCCTGCCCTTATTCACAGGTTACTGAAAGGGGCATACACTGGTATGACATTTCTAGAAGGGTATGTGACAATATTTCAAGATTTTTAAATATGTCTGTATCTCTGACCCTATCATCACTGTTCCAGGAATGTCCAAAGGACATAACCAGAGATTAGGGTAAAGTTTCATAAGTCTAGTTGGTCAAGGCTCACCGATTTTCCTTCCTCCCTTAGATCTGTAAATTTCTCTCCCCTACAGTCTCTATGTCAGGCCCTCGTTGTTTCTCTCTTGAAATATAAGAATCCTTTATTCTGTTCTTCTTCAGTCTACTCTTCTTACTATAGCCAGTGAACTTTCTAAAACACAATTCTGATCACGTCACCTCCATATTTAAAATAATTCCATGGCTCCCCTAGATGGTTCCCTCAGATTTCAAGGCCCAGCCTCTGCCTTCTTCCCTAGCTGTTCCCTCTCTTCGCTATATACCTCATGATCTGGAGCAATTGGCCATTGCCCAAATGTGCCACCTGCTGCTCCTCCCATGCCTGTACCAGTAGTTTATTCAAATGCACTCCCCAGCCCCCCAGTGCCTTCAGAGCCTGGTGAGTCTCTCAAGTCTTTCTAAAGCCCTCATGGGCACACTGCCCTGCTGGGAAACCTTCTGATGTCTGAAACCAGGCCGGTCCACTCTGGTACCATCTCACTGCACTCTGTGAGAACTCTGTTGCAGCACTTTTCATTTTCTGGGTGGTCTGCTGGCTCCTCCGCTATACCAAATCTTATTCCTCCATCCTTCATTTCCAGCACCCAAAGAATGCCTTCTGAAGACATTTTGCATGAAGGACTCTGTGACTAAGAGAACAGAGATTGATTCTACAAACATATCCAAGCACCTGATTACCAGCTTACTCTTGTGCAAAAATGATGACATAAATAATAAGACCAAAGGAGAGCCAAATAGAATGACTAGGCCCATCCTTCTATCTTGTACCAAATACCATACTGTATAAAATTAAATACCAGAGAGCTAAAATGCTCATTTCTTGAAAATAACTGTATTGGAGAGAAGGAATAGAAATATTAACTATAATTTGTAAATGCATGACTCAACAAAACTTACTGCTACATATAGCAACAGGGGTGGGGGGAGAATGCCATACCATGGCATCAGAGCCATGTTTTGCCATGAGCAATCCCTGCCCTCAGTGTACCCAACAAGATGGCAGAGCCAGCATCTCTGCAAGTGGGCCCAGGGACATGGGCTGGTGGGAGGAGACTGACTGTGAAGAGGCTGCAGAGCTTGCAGAGTTGGGAAATTAAAACCACTGCTCTTTTTGCTTCAGGCTAATTAAAGCTACTTGACTGTAAATAGGGTAAGGGAACTGGTGCTAAACTGATTTATTCCTCTACTTCCGGCCACCAACTGGACCTGCTAAGCATGGTAGTAATCAAATGAATACTTTACTTAATTGCATGAAACCATCCTGAGAGCTAACTTAGCACAACTGTTCCCATTACCCAGTCCAATTCTCAGTGCAGCAATGATGAGCTGCTAAGAGCTGACTGGGTCTGCAAACCATGGACCACAGGCCAACTCCAGCCTTCCACCTGCTTCTGTATGGCCCTTGAGCTAAGAATGTTTTTTACATTTTTTAATAAATGAAAGATAATTAAAGGAAGAATACTATTTTGTGATATGAAAATTATATGAACTCTGAATTTCAGTGTCCTTAAATTTTATTGGAACAGCCCCACTCACTTGTTTGTCTATCTCTGGCTGCTTTCACATTACGACAGCAGAGCTGAGTACTGGAGACAGACCTTATGGCCCACAAAGCCTAAAATATTTACGATCTGCCCTTTAGAGGAAGCCTGCAGACCCCTGACTTAAAAGCTGGCTAGGCAAGGCCATCCATAATAGCATTCCACAGCAGCCTGGATCCCAAGGTACTTAAAAATTATTTCCATTAATGAGTTTATCTTGCTCACAGAAATGGCCACTAGTTTGAGCTTCAAAATTGTGCCAGGCAGGATTCATGTAAGATAGCTGAGAATTTAATAAAGGCCCCTTTAGTTTAGAGAAATTGACTAAGAAGATGAAAATAAATTTTCTTCACTACAACTTTCTCTAATTCAGAAAGTCAAAGGCTCATCAGGAGCCAGTCATATCCACCCTCTCACATGCTGAGGATCCTGAAGTGGCCCAGTTTCCTTCAGGCAGTGGGGCTCCTTTCTTCAGAAGCCTCCCACGGAGGGCCTCCCTCTGAGTGCTATCACCTCACTGAGGGTGTCAGCCTGGAAAGAAAGCCCCGGAAAGCTGTAGGTGTAGCTTCCTGATTTTTGTTGGGGGGTTCTTTTTAGCACCCTGCTACCCTCCCTTGTTATCCTTTCTGAAGGCAATGGCTAAGACACAGAACAACACATCAGAGTCAACTAATGGCATCTTCCTTCCTGGAAGGGAGGCTCCTGGGAGGATGGGGGTCAGGGAGCTCTGTGCACTTCCAAGGCCCGTAGGGCAGGCCTGAGTCATCCAGGAAGAACCTGAACAGGGCGTAAGGGCTTCCCATAGCCCCCGACCCCACAAAGCTCAGATCTGCATATGATTATAATCCATTATGATTACTTTGACTACAAACACATAAAAGTCCCTTTAATGAGAGTCTTTTTAAGAAACAGAGGGACATATGTATAATAAAGAAAATAAAACAAGCATGTGTTAAACTCTAGAATTAACATGGCAGCAGAAAACATGAAGGTGGGAAGAAACCACCTGGAAGGTATGTTACTCAACTCATTCAACCACAAGCACAAAGAATGCACTCAGCACCTACACTTGCTTTTGGGCAATGGCATAAAGGAGCATCATTTCACTGAGCTAGAATCTCTTTAGAACTCGGTTTAAGCTCCAGGTAAAAGAGACATTTGGAGCAGGTAATCCGACCTCAAAGGCAGTGCTTCCCATCTGTTTCACATCACAGTACATACAGAACTTGCTAGTACCTGACAGCACGCTAGGATAAGCAGACAGGATTGCTAGCAGGTGGTCCCCAGGGACTGAGGCCAGCCCAGGTAGTCCTGAGGGCTGAGGGTGCACCATTTCAGACGTAAGTGTGGCAGCTCTGGTCTAAGGTGTGGACTGCAATCACCAGTGGTAAAGTTGCGCTATACTTCTGAAGTTATTATGACCTCCAAACCATTGAGTCCTTACCTGACAAACAGGTACCATGCTAGTGTCTTCCACCTCATCCATTCTGAAAGTCATCACGGTAAACTGACTTCTCGGAAAGGTGACTTCTGGGTTAGCAGATCTATTCTGCATTCAAGGGCATGCTGTGTGACAAGGATGGTGTCCCCTCTTACAAAGGCCTCTCATAGCACCTCCAATTGAGGCGAGTGTAAAAACGCATATATATACTTTAGGACTGCCACCCAAAACGTGGACATCGTGAACTGAGGCAAACACAGCATCAGAGAGCAGCTCAAACAGCAGGCTATGCCAAAGGTCCGAAGAAAAATGGATTTTAGTGAAGGCAAATGCAGGCAGTCGGCACATGAGAACAAATGCAGTGACTGCCAAATGGGCCACTGAGCTGATTTATAAAGGATCTCACGGTGTCTCTGTCACAGGAGACTGATGTGCTCCTCCTAAAGTCCTGGTCCACACACTCATCTAGAGAACCAAGGAATCAACTCCAAGGATGCAAATCCCTTATTTTCAAACCTTCATTAACTGGAACCTAAGTAGGACTTTTGAGGGCTTGTTTTTCTCACTTGAAAGGAAAATTTTTCTCTTAAGTCAGCATGGTGTAAAAGGAGGAAAGGTGAACAAAGTGCTAGCTATCTGGATTTCTTGCATATATGCAACTTATTTAACCTTTGGGGGCTTTGGCTTTCTAATTTATAAAATGAGAGGGCCAATGAGATACAGATAACTGAGTTACCAGACATGGCAACTCAACCAGGTTTGAATGACAGCTGCCTAAGTCCCAGTGAACCACTGGCATGGCTGTGCTACTCCAGAGCCATCAATACCATTCTGGGTCATTGTTTTCTTAAATAGCCAGCATTCTATAGTCTCCCCAGTTCTGTGCTTCCTCAGATATTAATCTGGAATTTGTAAACATAATTCTTTTAGGAAGACAAGGGATAAGAAGAAACACTTATTTCTTTAAGCCCCATAATCAGATACTGGTTAACTCCTACATGTCCATGTTTCCTGTTACCAGCTCAGTTAAGAGGGATTAGCAGTAGAAACCGAGGTGAGGACCAAATACTGGACATACCTTCCCAGGTTAGGCCAGCTGGGAGCTTTGGTCTCACAGCCACCCAGACACCACCCTTTTCCTGGGCTCACAGTGTTAGGCCTCAGGTGCCTGCGGAGCTAGGGAGAGTGGGAGTTAGTTCCTGCCTACCTTGGGGAACATTGCTTCAGTGCAGTGACTGAGGAAACAAGGAGGGAAGAGTGCAAGACTGCCATGCTGAGTTGCAGACATGCTGGGTTCAGGCACAAAGCAAATCTGTTGGTAGCACTAAAAAAAGGAAGTGACTGACCTGATCCAAACGCAGTGCACCGTCCAAAAACCGCTGTTTGCGTAACTCCTTCGCAATCCGGTGGAGATTCAAGACAGCCTGGTGTACCTCCTCGCTGGTGTGCTCAGGGGAGATGGGGGGCAGCTCCTGCTCAGGGATTGTCTTAGTCGGGCTCTCAATCATGCTCTGTGCGTGCTCATAGCTCAGTTTGGTGCAGGAGCAGATGATGGTCCGGCCAAACCACTCACTAAGGATCTGCAGGAGGACAGATTGTGAGAAATTGGTTTTCAGGTTTTTCTTACATGTGACCATTCACCCACATGCATTCTCCAGAGATTCCCTGAGCACTGGCTTTTTGAACAGAATGGTGTTAGGTTCTGGCTGGGTACAAAGACTTATCCAATGTGGAAGCTGCTGCCCTCAGCGAGCTCAGCCTCTACCAGGCTTGGACCGGGCAGGCATGGAGTCTCTAGATGTCTCCGAGCACAAGGGCTCAGGCAAGGCCAAGCAGGAGACTGAGGTGGAGGCTTTTCCTGTAGGAGGCTTTTTCATTAGTTTGGGTAGGTGGTCATCAATGTCAAAACTGGGAAAGAGAAGAAGGGATAGATGCCAAAGATGTGCAGATGGGGATTCTGTGGGTTTGGTAATGGATGTGATGTGGGATGAGGGAAAAGGTGGGGCCCCTGATAGAAACAGAGAGCAAGATGCAGGAGAAAGAAAAAGCCAATTCCAACTTGTTCTCTTTGGGGCACTGATGTAGAGACAAAGGCCCAGAACAGTATTTCTCAACCTCAGCACTATTGGGCTAATTCTTTGTTGTGGGGTTGTACTGTACACTGTGAAATGTTTAGCAGCATCCTTCAACTCTACCCGTTAGCATCTCTCTCCAGCACTGAGTTGACAACCAAACCACCTCTAGACGTTGCCAAATGTTCCCTGGGGTTATCGGAGCAGGTTGAGACCCACTGGGCTCAAAGCAGACACACTGCTGAGGGATGGGTTACCACTGATCTGTATTTTATCCTTTCAGTTTGTCTCTATTTTCTATAATGAGCATTTATTACTTTTAAAACAAAAATAAAATAAACCTTAAACTATTCGGGGACTCCTGAACCTGAGGTGCAGGGAGGAGACCTGGATGGCGCCATGTTGCAGGCAGCAGGGTGTAGCCCGGGGGCAATGACTGGTCTGGAGGTGGGGAGATGGCCTCCTGGATCTGAAAGAAAGAGAAGGCCGTATTCTCTACAAACTCCTTCATACTAGGGAACAAAAAGAAAAGCTGGATGATGAAAAAAAACAAAAACAAGAGAACTCAAAGAGACAGGAGAAAATTCAAGAGTGTCTGCTGTTAGAAAAAGCAGGAGACAGGGCAGAAGAAAGCGGTGCTCAGAAGCAGCAGCAGACACACTTCATGGCCCCTGGATGAGACAGATGCTGTTTCTATACTTTCCATACAACTACTTCCTCACACAGCAACGTATGAGGCAGGTGTTCTATTATCCTCACTCTGTAAACAAGGAAACGGAAGGCACAGACCCATTGAGTGACCTGCTAGGGAATGAATGGCAAAGCCAGGAACTGAGCCCAGGCAGTCCAGCCCCAGAGCCTGAGCTCCAACCCTTAGGCTATGTCAGATGTCACCTGGCCATCGAGGAGGATGAAAACAAAGGAAAAGACCTTGTATTGAGCATTTGCTTATTAGTGAGCTTTATGAAGGCTATTTTAGGGGAGAATATGGTAGAGGCTGGGTAGATTTCAGGCATGTGCTACGGACGGATTACAGAGACACTGTCATCCGGCAGCCAGAGCTCTGCCTTGCATCGGCCTCTCACACCCCGTGTGCCATTCAAAGAGCAGCATCTTCTATGTGAGGCATATGAGGGAAAGTTTGGGAAGTCTGGGGTTAAGGATAGGTGGACAGCTAGCAAGCAGTGGTGGCAAAGTGTGGATGGCTGATTCCACAAGGATGGAAGGACAGGATTTTGCTGTTTGTAGGGTGAGGGGAAAAGCCAGTACAAAAGGAGGACCGATGGTGCCAGAGAACGAATGGGTCCTGGGCCAAAGGACTCCAGTAGGTGACTCATCCACGAGAGAGGAGCAGGGACCTGGAAGGGAGGTGAGAAGGATAGGGGAGGCAAGCAGTGATCTTGAGGGGAAGAAGAGGCAAGCCAAGAGCACTCGGATCCGATATTCCCAATCTATGGAGCCAAGTAGAAGGCAAAGAATGAGGGGGCCTGAGTGGGATTCAAAGGCATGAGGAAAGTGGAAGAGCCCTATGATCAATGCCAATTCTTAAAATTTATCATCTGTAACCTGGCAGAATTGGAAGTCTACACTCCTTATCAGAGCTCCCTAACAACGCACGCTGCCTGCACTATCTCAGTTTGAGCCCCTTCTTCCTAACGAGCACCTTGGCTCCTTCATCTGTTTCCTTATCCACCTACACCCATCTCAACAGCACACACGAACACCACCAGATCTTTGACTATAGGGCTAATGAGAACTTTCTTATAATGCCTGCATCCCAGAAAACCTGTACTGCCCTTCTTTTTGAACCCACAATGGGTTGAAGTGAAAGTTCTGAAGAGCCATTGAGAACTACCTGGCCATGTGACAGTGGCCTCAGGCAGCAGAACCTATCCTGCTTTAACACAATCCAGCGATTCTGGAATCACCCTGACAAACGGACTAAAAAAATTCTGAGGCCAGAAAAACTAGCCTGAAACCACCTTGTGGGAAGGCAGCAGAGAAGCAAGGATGTCCCCCACAGCCTCAGAGAGAGGGCAGTAGGGAAAGAAGGACTATGGGGGCTCCCAGGGACAGCATGCCTAACAGCAAGGGAGGAAGGCCTTTCTGGAAGGAACACCTCATTAATTTCCAATTTGGAAGCTGTATTCACATCAACACCCCGTCCATGACCAGGGCCAGTGGCAGAAGACAAAAGGACATTTTTTCACGGAAAAAGTGAAAAAGCCATAAGGAGCTTCATAAATAAAACCCTTCAGAGAGATCTTGTCCTTCCTCTGTCCTTTGCTTAATCGCGGGATTTGGGTCACTGGTTGTCTGCAGGTGACAAGCTTCCTGCATTCACTCGAGGACATCATTGTTTAGAATGTCAGACTGAATTCTGTGCCAACACCTACTGAAGGTATATGGTGAGGAGGAAAACCTGGTCAGAATGGAGCAAACACTCTAGCTCATGACCTACTTTCTGGCCCCAGGTAGGACAGGAAATAACAACACTGCAGTGGACAGCACTTCGGAGTATCTGGCCCTGGCCCCTACTGAACAACCTTTCACAGTTTCTTGAACACATTTGGGAGGACTGCATTATTCAGCCCATTTCACAGTTGAGAAAATAGGCTGGGGATTTGAAAAAGCTTCTAAGTGGCAGCCACAAGCAGATCTATATCTAAAGATTTAAGGCTCAAAATCTAGTGTTACTTGTGTTATATTTTAGCTGAAGGTCACATAACAGACAAAGACGGTGGATAAAGGAAAGGAAGTATGCCTCATATACCAGCCTTCCATATATTGCAGATACCACGTTGTGAGGACACCATGTCCTTGGAAAACTTAAATTCTATTTAAATACATTATAAAGTCTATCTTCTAAAAAATGTCAGTGCTTCATTAAGAAATTTCTGGTTCAAAAACCGCTAATGGGTAAATTTGTAATTTTAAGTAAGTAGGTGCAAAATTACTTCTACAGCAGTTCTCATTTTCTGTATGTAAAGTATTTTTTTTAAAAGTATTAGGAAGAGCCCTAGCTGGTTTGGCTCAGTGGATAGAGCGTCGGCCTGTGGACCAAAGGGTCCCAGGTTCGATTCTGGTCAAGGGCACCTACCTTGGTTGCAGGCTCCTCCCCAGCCCAGGCCCTGGTCGGGACTCCTGCAGGAGGCAACCAATCGATGTGTTTCTCTCACATCGATATTCTCTCTGCCTTTCCCCCTCTCTTTCACTTACTCTAAAAATCAATGGAAAAATATTCTCAGTTGAGGATTAAAAAAAAAAGTATTAGGAAGAAACATTTTCCTGACTGGAATAAAACCAGTTTGAGGTGGCCAGGGGTGGGGATGGGGAATTTATGCTGCTTGGAACACAAGGCAATCGTCGTGTGTGTGTGTGTGTGTGTGTGTGTGTGTGTGTGTGTGTGTGTGTGTGTTGGGGGGGGGGGGTGGTTAAGCGGTGAGAAAAGTCCAAGGGGCCAAGAAGAACATGCCTGAAAAGGGACTGGGCAGAAAAAGGAGGGGCTTGAAGGCAGCGAGGAGAGACCAACATGTCTGTGATGGGGACCTTGGGACTGCAGTAGGGAGAGGCAGTGGGGTGGTGGCTGGCTGAGGAGCAAGCAAGGATCCCCTCGGCCTACTCCTCACACTAGACCCACAGTGATTAAGTAAGGTGCAGGTCACTTTTTAAAGAAAAGAGAAGACTTTGGTGAGATTAGAGAGTAAATAACAAGATGGAAGAACTGTCAGCAACTCACTGTATTTAGAACCAGCTGTGTCCTTTCCTACTGTGTGGAGAGGCCCTGAGGCACACTAGGCCCACCAGAATGCACTGAGGAGGGGCCTGTGCTTGGGCCATGCATTTGCCAGCCTGTTTTAGTTTATAAGGCGGTTTATTTATGTGCTAGAATTTTCTGGAAGGTCTGCATAGAAAAAAAGCCTAACTGAGTAAACCGTGAGCTCTTCTGTCTCATGTCACCTGCCATCAGCCTAGTCTGCCAACCCCCAGACAATAATCGGGCCCTTTCCATCTTGACCTGTCTAAAGGTCGACTGTCTAAACTTCCAAGCCTAAGAGGAAGGAAATGAGGGAATTTCCTTAAGTGTTTGCCTTGCAACTGTAGAAAATGGCAGGAATGTGAGAGGAACCTCAGGTCCCGGATGTGGTTAGGAGACAAGAATTCCATTTCTATGAAAGTGGGTGAGGCCCCAAGCCTGAGCAGCCCTTGAAAAGTGTTCCCTTTACCATGACAGTTGCATGAGGGTAGGGAGGGGCAGTGGGACTCTCAGGTTGGTAGAAAGGCTGGGAGGCCTGAGGAACTAGGGAAGGAAGTTGAAGGTGGGGGAGAGGGTGGGAAATGTTGGAGAGCCACAGAGAAAGCCTTCTGAGGACTGGCTTCAGACAGACCCAGGAAACACAAAAGCAGATTTTTAGGACCAGTGAGGTTAGCTCAGCCCCAGCCTTTCTTTCTTTTTAAAAATAAATAAATTATATGTATATGTGTAATTATATATATATATAATTGAT